ATGTGCGTGGCCAGAGTCCACAACGGTCTGCTGTTTGTCTTTAAATAGAAGCCGTCCAATGACGAAGGGGAGTTTCCCTCAATGACAGGATAATCTTGCAAATCTGGCATTAAAGAAACTGGCTGATACTTAAAGGATGTTTCGGCCACTGTGCTTCATCGAGAGTAACTCTGCACGCTTCCACCCACATCCATTCATAGAAGACAAAAACAATGATAGCGTTTCATCTTGGTAATGCTGCACGTATTATGTTAGCACGCATGCTTGCAAGCCTTTTGTGTTTTTATACAGGTCTGAATGCAGTGCAATGGCATGTGTGTGCTCAGAAAGCAGCTGGCCGTCTGTAGCTTTCCACTCGCCACTCCCTTCTCTCCCTCGTCAGGGGTGAGTTATGTCGTAGGCTTCTGCTGACTCACCCGCAGTTTCACAGGGGCTGAGCTTAAAGCAACTCGGAGTGAAGTCAGGAAATCTGCTATGAAACCCGACCAGGATAGTCAGTGTGAGGGAAAACAAACAGAGCACCTGCAGCACGAACACTGACCTTTTTATCTTTGCTTTGTTTGCCCGCCTGCACTTTACAGATCAGTAACCAGGTAATATTACAATTTGCAGTAGATACATCGAGCAAAAAGTCAAACTGGAAAGCAAATTAAAAAGATTTGGAAGCCAAATGAACAGTCTGAGTTCAACACACTAAGATTTAAAAGCAGCCTTTACTTACTGACTCCTCTAGTTTACATTAAGTGAAAATAATAGCACTAAAGAAACTATGTACCTATATTAAAGTACCTATGCAGTGATTTCTACTCTGTTTGAGCACTCGAGCAATAGTTTCTTCCTGTCAGGACAAAGCTGAAGGAAACTGATTAGCCGAGCAAGAGAGAAGAAATCATAACAACTAGAATTTTTTTAAAACAACAATTTATCAGTTTGCCTGATTGACTTTGACTTTTAATATAAGGGATAGAAAACGCTAAATTAGCATGAGCCTTAGGTCCTAAAGACACTATCAAACTGGGTGTGAAAAGTGAAGCCAATGCACAAAACACAAGGTAATCCCATCTAATGGGGTTGACTTGAAAAAAGTCCTTAAAAACACTTCATTGCTAAAAGTTTTCACTCATCTACAGAAAGGGTCGCTCTCAGGAGCTCGGTGAACTCCCGCATGGTGCTGTGATGCTCTTTAAACACTTTCTCTAAGACTTTATGGGCTCAGTCACTCATTTGAGGTCATATTAAAAAAAAACATTAGGTCCCATTTGTAAATTTTGATCATTTTAAGTTTCAGAAAAGAAGATTATGACAGCACCGAGCTGCTCCTTCAGCGTCGGGCTGCAGCACCTGCGGTGTGAGACGGACAGATTTCACAGGTCTTTCCTCCCTTCTGCTGTGAGACTCCACAACATGGTCTCTGCAGATGACCACACATGTGCAGACACACACACATCCAATACACAACAATAACTTTCGCCCCATCTCCCTGATGTGCAATAGTACCAACTGCAATTTCCCAGTTTGGCATTTTTTTATTTTATTTTGTATAATATGTTATTCTGTCATATCTTATTCTATTCTATTGTTTTTTTCTTCATTTTTTCTTCATTGTTACTGTTCTTAACTTACTTTCTGCTGTGACCAAAACATTTCCCACATGTGTGACTAATAAAGGTTTATCTTATCTTATCATCCACATTATAGACTTAAAGGCTCATTTCGAGGCTTCATAATAGAACTTCAATAATCAGCAGCTGATGTCACGATGGCCGCATCCTTCTTTTATGCCATTTATGGTGGAGGTGCAATAACCACATTATCAAGACATACCAGGTAGAATTTACCATGAATTAAGTGCAGACAACTTGGAGATATACTTGTGAGAAATCCAACATGTTCATTCAGGGTGTGAGTTTACAAAGCAGCAAGGCTACCTGCTCCAAGCTGAGCCACCTCCTCCAGCTCTTTCTGGGTCTTGGCTGAAGCTATGGCCTCTGGGAGTTTGAGTGTGAA